TCCAGCAAAGCCCCAGCCTTCTCTGTCCAGGATGCTGATAAGGATCTAGTCAAGTGAGCCTTAACAAAGGGGGAGGAATCCCTAACATTTCATAAGATTCTGTGATAGCTAATCTAATCCATCTAGCTAGAGCGGACTTGGATGCTCTGGAACCTTTCCATGCACCTGCAAATAATACAAACAGGGAATCTGAATTTCTAAATTCCCGGGACCTACTGAGATAAACTATAAGGCTCCTCTTTACATCAAGCAAACTTAATCTCTTTCTTCTTCCCTACTGTCGGGAGAAGAACAAAAAGGTCGGTAGAACTATATCCTGGGACCTATGAAAAGAGGATACCTTAGGGAGAAAATCTGGATCTGTTTTGAGCACAATACTGTCCTCAAAAACAGTCAGGTAGGGTTCCCTAATGGAGAGTGCTTGCAACTCACTTACCCTACGGGCTGACGTGATTGCCACCAAAAAAATGGTTTTTAACCTCCCTGGCGGTATGATTATTTCAGATTTTTGGTGCTGAAAGCGGTACCATTATTTTGCATGGAAATTTGGCGTTTTATATTGTAGGCTGTAATTCTTAGGAATAACTCACTGAAATCTGTCCCAACAAGAGTCTAGTAAACATCCCGGGGATGATAAAACTTGAAACCCGAAATCATAAATTATAATTTAATAAATAATCAAAAAAATAATAAATTGAATTCAATAATATAATTGAACCAAAACCACTGAAATTTGAAATATAGCTCCAAGTTCACACATCACTGAGCAGTCGCAAAATCGTTTTCAGTGTCTGATGAGGAATTTCCCCCACGAATCATTATCACTCAATTCTGCAAGTGGTTCTGATTTACTATCGCTGTTCTCTAGCCGGTCTAAAACCGCTTTTGACCTAAAGGGACACTTTTTGGACGCCATGGACGTTTCTCAGTTTCCAGGCAGAAAGAACAATAACAATGCAGGCAGGGCGCAGGACAAAGCACTCGGGACAAAATGTATGTGAAATGGTTTGATACAGTAATGTTTTACTATGTGATTTTAGTGATTTTTGTGAATGTCACTTTTTGTCATTTTCAAATTCCCCTCCGTTCCATCCACCGTATGTCCCAGAGGATGGAACCCAGATGACAGATGCCGGCATCCGCTGGATTACATTACAGGGGACACTGCAGGAGGGACATCGCGAGAGCGCAGGACAAGGTAAGTGATCGAGGGGATCGCGGAGCAGTGCCACATGGTAAGCCCGAGTGTAGCTCGGGGTTACTGCTTGTGGTACTGAAACTTTACCCCGAGCTACACTCGGGAATACCGCCAGGGAGGCTACAGTCAAAAATTTTATAGAAGATTTTTCCAGAGCTTCAAAGGGTCCGAGGATCAAAGCCTTTGATAGATCCCAAATAGAAGAAAGAATATAAGCGAGTGATAAAAGTCTGTCAGCTTCTAAACACCAAAGGTACCAAAAAACCTCTAAAATCAATAATAAACAGCAGGGTATAGCGCTGAAATATCCAGATATAATTAATAAAATGGGCGAGACCCAAAATATCAAAATCCAATGAAAAAGTATAAATAACTTAAAAAATGGCATAAGAAATATATCATTATTACATGTAAACACCTCAGATAAAACCAGCTGAGAGATGAATAAACATGATATGATATTGGCACATCAAAAAAAAATAAAGTATTGAACAGTGATCTAACGTGTCACTATAAAGTGACTGATAATGTACAAAATCAAAGTCCAATATTAAGGTGCGTGGGAGATCATGACGATCTTCAGGATCCAGTAATCTGATCCAAATAGGATGGTGATAAATCTCAAAGTGTAAAGATTGCGCACTCACCAGATACGCAACCAATCTGCGCATTTAGAGATATAGATCTCAGAGAACTGGAAGTCCCTTCAAGGTCTGGTCAGGCTTGGTATTGCTCACTCTCCGACATCCGCTACCAATGTTGGCGGCCCCGCTCTGTGGATGGTGTAAGCTCACAGGGAGCCCTCAAAAACAAGGAGGCCAATAGCGTGATATCGTTTAAAAAGGGGGGTTATTTATTGCAACCTAAAGTGTGATTTCACCCATTTTATTAGATTATTATATCTGGATATTTTAGCGCTACACCCTGCTGCTTTTATTAGGGATAGATCCCAAAATGGACAAGACCTAACCTTAACTGGTCTGGACTTGGAGAGAGCCCTGAAAAAAATTAACTACAAAGGCATCCTGCTGCAGGGGGGCCTGAAGAAAAATACTGAGGGCCAAAGCCTGCACTTTTAAGGTGCTGATCGAGAGTCCCCCGATCCGCCCCTTCCTGAAAGAAGTCCAAAACTGCCGGAATATATGGAGGGCCCCGCCGCTTACTTAATAACCAAGAATTGAACCCAATTTAACCGTCACACTGCACACTTCTTCTTTGGGGTCCTGTCCTGGGTCTTAACCTAAACAGAAAAAGACAGAACACAAGGCGGAGCCTCAGCCCTAATCTCCCTCCACACGCCCTGTGCTAGGGGAAATCTGCAGTGTGCCCCACTGTCACCTGCCCCCACAGACTGGGGGAACAATCACCCACCCCCCAGGAGTCATCTAAAGGGACCGTCCCCAAGCCTACCTGAGAGGAGCCAGTGCCGGAACCAGGATCCGCTTGCTGCGATGAGCCAGCTTCCATGGCGTCCCGTCTGGCATGGTCCGCAGCCTCTGCTGGGTTCAAAGGCCGCATCGACCACCCGAAGTGGATGCTTGCACCTTCTTCAATGGAGACCGGAGCCAGCGTCTCCAGACGCCCTCTGATGATGTCACTGCGCCAGACTTCCGGTCTTTGGAACGCAAGCCACGCCCCCCAGAAGTCGCGCCTGGTCCTCCTTCCGCCTGGCACAGCCACGCTAAGAAGAGGAAGGAAGGACTCCCAGGCACCAGGGAGAGCGGATGCCTCGGGCTTACCGCCGGGCAACCCCCCGCTCCACCTGCGGGTGACCTGCCACCAGCGGTCCCTCACCTGAGGATGAAGGCCATCCACAGCGCAGCTCCATTCACCATGCAGAGGAGGTAAGCAGACCCTCAGAGCTTACACTCTTCCAGGACCCCCCAAGAGTGCAGAGACCCCCCAGGTTCCAAACGTGTGTTTCTCCGGATCAGTAATCACTAAAAACTGGGGATGGAGGCCTGGAGGTCCGCCTTTTAAGGCATGGGGGAATGCGTGTTTCCTGACCCGGAGGGAGGAGCTCTACGTCTCAAGGGGCTGTCCAGGAAGACGCTGAGAGAAAATTCATTAACCTCTTCCAGTCCGGACACTTTCACCCCCTTCCTGTCCAGGGCAATTTTCAGCTTTCAGCGCTATCACACTTTGAATGACAATTGCGCAGTCATGCCACACTGTACCCAAATTAAATTTTTACCATTTTTTTGAGACAGATAAAGCTTTATTTTGGTGGTATTTATTCACCGCTGGGATTTTAATTTTTGCTATGTAAATGAAAAAGTCCAAAAATTTTGAACAAAAGTGTTTTTTTTATAACATTTTGCAAATAAATAATATATTTCATAATAAATCTTTGCCAACATTTATTCCGCTATCTTTTTAGTAAAAAAAAAAAAAAAAATTAGTTTATAACCAAAAATTATAATTTTTAAACATTTTTTTTTACATTTTTATTTTATTTTTTTTATATTATTTTTTATTAATTTATTTTTTTTACATACTGTCACCCTAGCAGTACAGTGTCACCATGGTGACACTGTACTACTTGTGGGGGGTGATGAAGATTTTTTTTTTTTTTACACTGATTGCTTTTACACCCATATAGGATGTAAAAGCAATCATTTCTCTTTCTCATTGAGAAGTACTGGGTGAGCTGTGATTGGTCACAGCTTGTCACATGGTACAAGGCTGTTGTGAATAGCCTTGTACCATGTGACCTCTGTGATCATTCACAGATTTCACATGTAGTAAGCAATGATGTCACAAGTGACATCTTGCTTACTACTTTGCATGTGATCACTGATTGACCAATCAGTGATCACATGATCGGGACCTCGTACAGAGATCCCGTCCGACGATCGGTGTTTCACTGTGTCCGGAGGACACAGCGGGCACCGGATCGCGGTGCTGCGCGCTCCCATGGAGCGCGCACAAGCAGGGTGCGGGGAGGCCGTTCATAAACGGCCACCCGACCCTGCACTGCCACCGTCTGGCCGTTTATATGCAACGGCCGGTCGGGAAGTGGTTAAAAAAGACCAATTTGTTAAATAATTTTTGGCGCCATCGTATTACGGAACGAACAATATTTTCAATCATAGTGTGTCATCCTTTAAAGGATGACACACTATGATGATGATGAGTCCGTAGGATCGGCCGTGAGTGGATCCTTATGGGGAGTGGGATATAAAGTCATTTAAAGATAACATGAGGGTAAGGAGTATGTTATTCAGCCATATTTGGTGGACTCCGAGTGATTTTTCATATAATTTTTATCATATGTGCACATTGATATTGATTTTGTTATAAACTAAGGTAATGTACTATATGCAGCTATTTCGTTTTTTGAGGTACACATGGACCCATAAGAAGTGATCTTGGAGATGGATCAAGTTTATGTATGATAATTTGAAGATTCACAGACGTGGAGGAGGTTTTTTTTGACTTTGGACTTTCTGGGGAGAAAGTGTAACTTATTGTGCGTCTAGGGGATTTATGTTATTGCATGAAAAGAAATTTTTAGGGGTTTACCGATTGTTTGAAATTTATGAATGTTTTGCAGCCAGGCTGAACCCCAGAATCTCCATAGATCCAGTCTAGATACATAAATTGTGTCTGAGGCACAGAGAAGGAAGATTATCGAGAGAAAGACGATCTAATGTGCATGGATAGGGAACACAGCTTGGACCAGGGTATTACATACTGACATCACCCAGTCCTCACCCTACTCTGGACCAATCAGTAAGCAGTATGAGTGGAGTATTTAGTGTTCATGACCCACCTGTGCTGATCTCTGTAGGAGTGTCCTCTCTATAAATGTCCCCATTATTCCATCCTCCTCCATAGACTGCTGATCATCCCTCACATACTCCTCTTCTTCTTCTGCTTTATCCTCAAATTCTATATCTATCAGATCTTCACCCTAAACCAAGACAAGGATGGAAATGACATCTGTAAAATAAGCTCAGATAAAAAAAAAGTCCTCAGATTGTCTCCATAAGTCCATGTTCCAGATATTCCTTCCCACCTACCTGATGATGGTGAGGGATGGTGTGACCTTCCTGTGTGGAATCCCGGGAATACAGAGGACGGGGACATCTCTCTGGGGGTTCCCATGACTGGATCCATCTACCTGATGATGGTGAGGGATGGTGTGACCTTCCTGTGTGGAATCCTGGGAATACAGAGGATGGGGACATCTCTCTGGTGGGTTCTCATTACTGGATCCGTCTACCTGATGATGGTGAGGGATGGTGTGACCTTCCTGTGTGGAATCCCGGGAATACAGAGGACGGGGACATCTCTCTGGTGGGTTCCCATGACTGGATCCATCTACCTGATGATGGTGAGGGATGGTGTGACCTTCCTGTGTGGAATCCCGGGAATACAGAGGACGGGGACATCTCTCTGGTGGGTTCCCATGACTGGATCCATCTGTAGGAAACACACACACTGACTGAATCCATTGTTTCTATGTGTTTATCAGATGATGGGGGATCTAGGTGGATCCTCCGTACTGCTCTCTCCTTTACAATAAAGTCTCCTCTTACCCGGTGATGTGAGGGGCGGCTGATTGTCCATCATGACGTCCTTGTAGAGATCCTTGTGTCCTTCTAAATACTCCCACTCCTCCATGGAGAAATAGACAGTGACACCCTGACACCTTATAGGAACCTGACACACACAATGATACAGTCACCATCCAGACACATCCCTTGTCTGTTACTGGAGAATGTCCCAGAATTCCCGGCACCGCTCACCTCTCCTGTCAGCAGCTCCATCATCTTCTTGGTGACTTCTAGAATCTTCTGCATGTTGTGTCTCTCAGGGTTTAGGGAGTCACATGGAGGCACTGTGATGGTCATATGATCACCTGACTTCAGAAGAGGAAATCTCTGTATTGAGGAACCAATAGGAATATAATGTTAGAATCCCAGAATCCTCCTCACCTCCCCGGTCAGGTCTGTGTTTTATTAATAGAGATAAGAGTGATGTCATGTGACCTCCCAGAATCCTCCTCACCTCTCCGGTCAGGTCTGCGTTTTATTAATAGAGATAAGAGTGATGTCATGTGACCTCCCAGAATTCTCCTCACCTCTCCAGTCAGGTCTGTGTTTTATTAATAGAGATAAGAGTGATGTCACTTGACCTCCCAGAATCCTCTCACCTCTCGATCAGGTCTGTGTTTTATTAATAGAGATAAGAGTGATGTCACTTGACCTCTCCTCCTCACCTCTCCGGTCAGGTCTGTGTTTTATTAATAGAGATAAGAGTGATGTCATGTGACCTCCCAGAATCCTCCTCACCTCCCCGGTCATGTCTGTGTTTTATTAATAGAGAAAGGAGTGATGTCATGTGATCTCCCAGAATCCTCCTCACCTCTCCGGTCAGCAGGTAGATGATCTCCAGGGTGAGGTTTAGTATCTTCTCAGTCATGTGACTCTGGTCCTCCTCCATCTTCACTGATGCCGTCATTTGAGCTATGCAGATGTAGCCCTCCTTTGGGGGGGTTATGAGAAATGCCCCTCCCCAAACAGGTTAGTACACCTGTAGGTAAATAAGAGATAAAAGTTGTCAGTGCCTTCCCCCAGGACAGGGCCTCTGTGAACAGAGGGGATTGCTTTCCTGGAAATCATGAGCCTTAGAGGCACTGTGCACATATACCCAGGTATATATAGTTATTAATAGGGATACCTCCAGAAAATGTTGCAGCAAAGTTCAGTTGCAGGAGTCCTTGAGGATTATGCACTTGGTGTCAGAGACCTGAAGACAACATCTGCAGTGGCAGGGAGATCCTGTAGCTGTTGTCAAACCAGCACTGAAATGCAGATTCACCCCATACACACATACATACTCAGATGCTATGGGTAACAAGAGAAAACTAGCAGCTGTCTATTAATCCCTTCTGACCTGAATTTAGCAGTGCCTTTTTCATGAACAGGACATATGTTCTCAGACTCTCTCTCTCTCTTTCCATTTCCTCCTTCTGGGGTTTTCAACTCAACCACCCAGAGACAGGAAGTGCATACATAATTACATAAGCATCCCATGCATTTACAATTACAGACAGTAGAGGGCAGCAAATCACAACACAGGTTTCCTTGTAAAAAGAGAAGTTCAGTAAATGAAAACAAGAATTATTTGGATGGTATTGGTCACACAAAATATGATGATGTGGATGAGAGGGATGCTGTATATTTAAGAACTGACCCCATAAGAACACATTTAGTTTGAACTGCTTAGTGACTGTTACATTTTTGAGGTCCCGGTATGTCAATGTAGGATCATCATGATCTCCAGGCAAGAGAACATGCTGGCTTTAGGCTGGCTTATCAGGATGATTGTCAGAGCTCCAGCTGCAAGGCTCCAATCTCCGGCAGACTGCTGACTGACAGGAGTGATGTCACTGTCACTCTCTGCAGTAAGGCCCCGTTTACACTTGCTTCAGAATGTGGCATTTGACACGCTTTTTTAAAGCTCTCTGAATACCAATCAAAGCAGCTCTCACTAAATAAAGTTACCTTACAGTCCTGTTCACACATTATGTTGGCTTTGCTTCAAAACATAATACCCCATGTCGCTTTCTTAGTGCTTCAAAGCATCTCGAAAAAAATCTATCACAACACTCACTAACAGCACATGCAGCTTTTGAGGGGCTTTTATTTAAAGTTAGCCTTGCTTTGTTTTGGAGATATTGCAAGTACGAGATATCCCAGGATTTATTTATTTTATTTATTTCACTGGCTGAAACCAACAAGCAAACCAGAAAGATGTCAGCAGCAGTCGCTTCTCGTTCATACATCTACATTCTGGGAGAGTCTGGTGCAGATATCACATCTGGTATGGAGCAGCAAGAAGGTGAGCAGGGTCTGGACTGGAGCAAAGCAACTCTCAGATTGCATACATGGTGTGCAACATGGGAGCGCAATAGTGGAAGTTGAGCAGGAAACCGGAGAGAGAGGACTGAACAGTGGAGGATCAGCAGAGCTGGAGGACTGGACTGGGAGAAACTAGCAGATGTCACAAGTGGTGCACAGCATGGGAGCAATATATCAGGAGGTGAGTGGGAACTGGAGAGAAAGGATGGAGAATCAGCAAGCAACAGGTCAGTAGAGCTTGGGGTTACTACTGACTAGGGGATCAGCAGAGCTGAGGGTTACTACTGACTAGGGGATCAGCAGAGCTGGGGGTTACTACCGAGAGGGGGATCAGCAGAGCTGGGGGTTACTACCGAGTGGGGGATCAGCAGAGCTGGGGGTTACTAGCGAGTGGGAGATCAGCAGAGCTGGGGGTTACTAGCGAGTGGGAGATCAGCAGAGCTGGGGGTTACTAGCGAGTGGGAGATCAGCAGAGCTGGGGGTTACTAGCGAGTGGGAGATCAGCAGAGCTGGGGGTTACTAGCGAGTGGGAGATCAGCAGAGCTGGGGGTTACTAGCGAGTGGGAGATCAGCAGAGCTGGGGGTTACTAGCGAGTGGGAGATCAGCAGAGCTGGGGGGTTACTAGCGAGTGGGAGATCAGCAGAGCTGGGGGTTACTAGCGAGTGGGAGATCAGCAGAGCTGGGGGTTACTAGCGAGTGGGAGATCAGCAGAGCTGGGGGTTACTAGCGAGTGGGAGATCAGCAGAGCTGGGGGGTTACTAGCGAGTGGGAGATCAGCAGAGCTGGGGGGTTACTAGCGAGTGGGAGATCAGCAGAGCTGGGGGTTACTAGCGAGTGGGAGATCAGCAGAGCTGGGGGTTACTAGCGAGTGGGAGATCAGCAGAGCTGGGGGGTTACTAGCGAGTGGGAGATCAGCAGAGCTGGGGGTTACTAGCGAGTGGGAGATCAGCAGAGCTGGGGGTTACTAGCGAGTGGGAGATCAGCAGAGCTGGGGGTTACTAGCGAGTGGGAGATCAGCAGAGCTGGGGGTTACTAGCGAGTGGGAGATCAGCAGAGCTGGGGGTTACTAGCGAGTGGGAGATCAGCAGAGCTGGGGGTTACTACCGAGTGGGAGATCAGCAGAGCTGGGGGTTACTACCGAGTGGGAGATCAGCAGAGCTGGGGGGTTACTGCCGAGTGGGAGATCAGCAGAGCTGGGGGTTACTACCGAGTGGGAGATCAGCAGAGCTGGGGGTTACTACCGAGTGGGAGAGATCAGCAGAGCTGGGGGTTACTACCGAGTGGGAGATCAGCAGAGCTGGGGGTTACTACTGAGTGGGTAGATCAGCAGAGCTGGGGGTTACTACCGAGTGGGAGATCAGCAGAGCTGGGGGTTAATACCGAGTGGGAGGTCAGCAGAGCTGGGGGTTACTACCGAGTGGGAGATCAGCAGAGCTGGGGGTTACTACTGAGAAGGAGATCAGCAGAGCTGGGGGTTACTACTGAGAGGGTGATCAGCAGAGCTGGGGGGTTACTACATAGTGGGAGATCAGCAGAGCTGGGGGTTACTACCAAGAGGGAGATCAGCAGAGCTGGGGGTTACTGAGAGGGTGATCAGCAGAGCAGGGGGGTTACTACTAAGTGGGAGGTAAGCAGAGCTGGGGGGTTACTACTAAGTGGGAGGTCAGCAGAGCTGGGGGTTTACTACTGAGTGAGAGATCAGCAGAGCTGGGGGTTACTACTGTGTAGGAGATCAGCAGAGCTGGGGGTTACTACTGAGAGGGGGATCAGCAGAGCTGGGGGTTACTACTGAGTGGGAGATCAGCAAAGCTGGGGGTTACTACTGAGTGATAGATCAGCAAAGCTGGGGGTTACTACTGAGTGGGAGATCAGCAGAGCTGGGGGTTACTACCGAGTGGGAGATTAGCAGAGCTGGGGGTTACTACCGAGTGGGAGATCAGCAGAGCTGGGGGTTACTACTGACTAGGGGGATCAGCAGAGCAGGGGGTTACTACTGACTAGGGGGATCAGCAGAGCTGGGGGTTACTACTGACTAGGGGGATCAGCAGAGCTGGGGGTTACTACTGAGAGGGTGGTCAGCAGAGCAGGGGGGGGGTACTGCTGAGTGGGAGATCAGCAGAGCTGGGGGGTTACTGCTGAGTGCGAGATCAGCAGAGCTGGGGGTTACTACTGAGTGGGGCATCAGTGGAGCTGGAAGTACTACTGAGCAGGAATTCTGCTGAGCAAGGGTACTAATAGGCTAGGGATCTTCTTAACAAGGGTACTAATGAGTTGGAGATCTGTTGAACAGGGGTACCAATAAACTGGGGGGGGGGGGGGTACTACAGAGCTGGGGATCTACTGTGCCCCTTTAAAACTAAATAGAGAATCAACACACACAGGGAATTTGCCAAGTTTCACTAAGGCTTCTAAAAAGCATCCCAGACGTATCAAAAACAGATCAAGAAAGCCAAAGCAAACCCTTAGAAAAGGGATGGGATTAGATAGCGGGAGGATGCTGTTGGTGGAATAGAGAGATGCCAAGTATACTGTAGTGTCCCGTACATTGTACAGAGTGGTGGTGGGTTCCAGGGGCTCTGAATTCCAGCACCGGGCACTGCCAGAGCCTGTGTCATGGGAAGGTATTGGACTGCCCCCCCAAGATGAGCCTCTCTGGTGAGGTTGCACGGTCTAAGAATGGATGCCAACCAAGAGCCGAAAGGACTCTTCTTCATTTCACTTGGTATCTGGAACAAATTACTTGACCAGTGAGGTGGTAAGAAGGTGAAGGTTGCCTTCATTTCCTTGTAGGAGTTCTGTAAGGAGGTCTGAAAAGTAAGTGCAGGTTCCTTCAGCCCTCCAGTACCACCCACTGTCCTTCAGCTCCCCTATGTCCCTCAGAACCTTCATTATTTTTCCTCCCTCTGACACCAATGATGGAACATATTCTTCATGGCCGGCTGGGGAATGTTTCCTTCCTCCTGAGCAGCAATGTAAGGGGCTATGTAATCATTGCCCTTTGTAGGCCATGTATGGTCAGGATGGTCCTTGTCTTGTCTATTTATTGTCAGTGCTGTTTGTTT